TCTACCAATAAATTTAAAATCACGTGTACACTGTTTCAGATTTTTTTACGAACGAGTTATACATAAAAGACACCACGGACAGCACATCTTCCGACTTTCAACACACGATGAACCGCCATCGCTCGCAAACGAACGGATGCGATGCTGCGCGAACGGTTTTGAAAGAGCTGCGTATTGTACTCCGGGCGCAACGGCTTCCGTTCGAAGGGAAAAGGATTCGGGACGGCGAAGTAGCGTCTTGCATCTTGAGTAAGCTAACGGTTCGTGTTTACCCGCTCAATTTAGCGGGGAAACATGAAAAAAAAAAATTAGTTTCACTGCCAGATTTCGCGGGAAAATTGACGTCACGTGACATACGTACCAATTCAATTTCTTGCTAAATTTAGCGGGGCGGTTACACCGATGGCGACGCCAACACCGCTTAACTCGGAAACCGGTGCCTAAGAGCTGCGACTAAAATCCATTATTTGATTAACTCGCGCTCCGATCGCGCTTCGTCATATTGTCACACATCAAACATACAACCAAATTTCATTTGTCTTTTAATCTTCAAATTGCGCAATTGATTAATTGGTCCAAATACCTGGAATAACCTTACTTTCAGGATGTTGACAATAGTTAACCAATTACATGAGACTCATGCAATATAGATCAATCAACTAGTGTCTTAGCGAGTACATATAACTTGTTGCTTGCACGACTAAAACGGGCCCATATATCATTATCAGGGGCGCTATATTTGCACGCGTATATGGTGATATATGGACGTATTTACGCACTTATACGGCCCGATCTGGCAGTATTTGCCCACCTATATGTCGAAATACGGCTTATTAGCTCCCATATCTGGCGAAATACAGCCCTATTTGACTGCTTATATTATCATATCTGAACGTATATAAAATATATCAGGGCCATATCTGACATTTTCGTACGGGTAGGCTTGTATCCTTCATTTTTGCTAGATTTACATTTATTCAGGGTACTTCCCGATGAAATTAGTAAATATTCCCATTACAAAACGACGAAATCACGTGGTTTACAAGGTTTGCTTGATACGTTGCCAATATGAACGGACGCGAATCAAATATTTACAGGGAAGCATAATAACGCACTTATGTATACTGAACGATAACACTTATATATACCTCAAGTGTTATCGAGCTAAGTATTGCATCAAAAAATTTTTGTGTGTACAGCCTTATGAAGCGATATATAACAACTTCATTGACCAAAAAAAAAAAAAAGGAAAAAAAGACATGGCAGAATTTTTTTTTCGCATTTGTGAGCATAGATACGGTGGTATAACGATATAACGTTTTGAATGCAATGCCCCATACTTAAAGAGCTTCGTTTGTGGGCTCGCTCCATTCATCCCAAAGTAAACAGCAATATCCGCTTTGTTGCGCCTCTTCTGTTTCACCATAACACAGCCGAGTTAAAAAAAGAAAAAGAAGAATTGAAAACTCAACGCCTGAATAATAAAACAAAAAATGCATCAATGTGCTCTTTTTTTTTTTTTGACTGGCGTTCCGATGCTTTTGTTATTTTTTTATTTTTTTTTGTGTGTTTGGAAGCCTATTTTACAAACTGCTTCATTGCGTTTGGTGGCAATTTTTCGTCACATTTGTAAAGGAACAATGCAAACAGATATCGAAAATGGATAAAAATAGATAGACTCGATTGGCATGTTCGTTTCAAATATGTAGAAAAACACAAGACGAAAACATGGGACGCGGAATGGCCATAGAGGGAAAGAAGACGGAATAGTAGCACCGGCATTACTTCTGATCTCTCAGAGCTATCCGGGTAGATAGCGATCGTGGTGCAGCACGAAACGGAAGCTGGAACCTCAAAAGTGTCGCGCACGACCAAGAAAAGGGCCGTCTATACGAAACATAACGAATGCCGGGCACAGCCAAAAAGACAAAAACAAAAACAAAAAACTAGCAGGCTGAAAAAATTACATGAAATTTAAGGAGCGCGCGTACTTTGTCAGTGGTAACACAACCACGCAAACAGCACAGCTTTCCTCCTCAGTTTCATGTTGTTCTTTCTTCGTCTCTCTTGGGGCTTTGACGAAAGTCAGCAGAGTTTGTAAAGAGCTGTCCGGACTCACGTGAATTGGACACTTCGAGCTTCAGTCTAAGGGTGGAAGTAAAGCTTAACTGCACTCCCCCCCTCCCCCCCCCCCCCCCCCGGGGAAAAAACAACAACAAACAAATAAGAAAACAAAGTTTTAAAGCTAACCGGAATTGGTGGAACATTTACAATTCCGGTAGTACCACAAATGCCGGTCATGGCGTCCGCTGTGTCCCGCTTGGACAGCCAGGGCGCATAAGGATGATCATGACAATAAAAACTAAGACGATTCGGGATGAAAAGAACAAGTGCAGGAATTAGAAGTTTTTGAGCGGCTTTGTGTGTGCGAAATAAATTATATTAGCATCGCAAGACTTGTTGTGTACTTTTAACTTATGCATGAACCAATCTGTCCACAACGCTACTTTGACTACTTGAAGTCTTACCGCAAACACGAGTTTGGCAACATTGCATAGATCGAAGGCAAAAACCATTGACCCTTGCAATTAGCTACGAGTTTCAGAGTCCGAGTGTGATCCGCATTACACGTATCATTACATTTCCCTTAGTTCTATTATTTTATGGGTCCATCGGTTTTATCAGTCTAGCTCGTTCCGTTAATATATGTTAGTAGTAGTAAAAGTGTACCAGTTAGGCCAACTTGTAAACAAACCGTTGCTAGGGGCGTTGCCCGTTGCTAGGGGCGTTGCCCTGTGGGCGGGGCCCGATCCGACCAATCACAACGCCGCAGGGCGGGGCCTACCCCAATCCGACCAATCACAGAGCAGTGGGGCGGGGCACCTGCCCCCTCTCCCATCCCAGTGACCAATCGGAGCCCATCGCGGTCCCGCCCTCGAGTCACGTACGTGGTATAGGTGTGAGGTCACGTAGCCAATGTTAACACCTCGTTAAGGATGTTAACACATGCTTATCAAGGTGTTAACAGCCGATGTTATCAGTCACGGACGCGGCGCGTGTCAGAAGTGTGGGAAAGTCACGTACAGAGATGTCGTCACCACCGCTCACAACCACGTGATTTTCCCCGGGTTCGAGTTGCGTCCAACAGAGGGCGCTCACGTGATCTCACACATGGTTCGACTTGCGCCCGACAGAGGGCGCTCACGTGATTTCACACAGGGTTTGAGTTGCGTCCGATAGAGGGCGCTCATGTGATGTCACATGACGGTCACGTGATATTATTTGAATCGCTGCGCGGTAAATGGCTTTTAATCGCTAAAAAAGGCTCTGTGGCGGCTGGGAATCGACCTCGCTACCTTGTGCACAGGAGCCCGACACTCTACCCCCTGAGCTAGAAGCACATTGCTTCCCAGAGGGCTTAACTCGTCTTAGTTGTCCGTGTGTGTGTGTGCAAACCAGATCACGTGCTTTCCTGCTACCTGGCTTCTGTAATACGATTGAAAAACAGGATACGACATTGCCGCAGGTCATGTGACGATGGTCGTGTAATATTATTTGCATCGCCGGGCTCTAGCGTTGCTCGTCTTCTTATCACGTGATTTCGCGCGATTCAAACGGTGTTCGCGGACTCGTAGCCTCATGGCGCCCCCTTAGCTGATGCATTTGGGGTCTTCGACCCGCTAAATTTGGGCATCATGTGACGGTCCCAAATAGCAGCAGCTGGGTCCCGCTAAATGAGGGGGTTGAGGTGACGGTAAAATTTTGGAGCTCGCGGATCGTGATATATCTTGGTCCAGCGTAAAGCTTTAAAGTAGCCCTGCTAAAATTTGGGGCGAGCTCGTAAAACTTTGTAAAGACCCAGCGAATTTCGGGAATAGGCGCCATCTAGTGTTCAAACTGTGAAGTGGTCCTCGTTAAAAATTGAGTGCCATCTGGTGGTAAAAGCTTGGACCTGCTATAAATTTTGAGCGTCGTGTGAAGGTCCCAATTAGCACCAGCTGGGTGCCACTGCATTGGGGGTGAGGTCACTTTAAAACTTTGAAGCTGGCGGACCGTGTTAATTGTTGGGCCAACGTAAAGCTTTGAAGTGGGCCTGCGTAATTTTGCGGGCCAGCGCAAAGTCTTGAAGCTCAAAGACCATGCCGGACCCAGCGATTTTTTTTTTAATTTTTTGATAGGCACCATCTAGTGTTAGAGCTTTGAAGAGTTAAATGCTAAAATTGCTGACATCTAGTGGTAAAAGCTTCGACCCGCTAAATTTGGGCGTCATCTGAAGATTCCCTTAGCACCAGCTGGGTGCCGCTAAATGTTTAGCTGGGGTCACGGTAAAACTTTGAAGTTCACAGGCCGTGCTACATCTTCGCCCCAGCGTAAAGCATTCAAGTGGCCCTGCTAAATATCATGGTTCCAGCTTATGTCAGCAATAGCCTCGCGTCCTGGAAATTGACAAGGAGAGAAACGTCAAGTTTGCCGGCTAAAATGGAAGAGCACGAATTTTACCCAATGTTCGCGGGAAATCATTGCACGCGTCCCTGGTTTCGTGGCACGTTCGCGTGCGACGAGATTGGTCAAGAGACAGCATCACCCGGTCTTTACGTAGTGAATACGGCACCGAAGTCTTCGTTCGGTGAACACTGGGCTCTTCAAAACCTTCTCGGCGAGCGACTATACCGACGGAACGACACACACACATTTCCATACTCGTGCGCAAGCAATTTTCCTCTCCCGCTTTAAAGCTCTCCTGCTGCTCCGCCCTGTAACCTGATTTGGAAATAAAGCCACAAAAGGACACAAAGCGAGGATGGATCTTTTTCTTTTTATTCAATAGGCATATATCTAAGAAATTCTCGAGACACGGAGAAACAAAGGGAGCGCGACAGCTCTTTATACAAGCATCAAACACTCGGCGGGGGGAAAAACCCCCGCGCTACATGAAAATCACACAACAAAATGGCTCTTTACACAACCCTCTGTGTGTACACACGCGGACACATCAGTCTGAAATGATGGAGATCAGAGAAAGCACTTCACTTAGAGGCTCCAATGTCCGAAAGGAAGAGTTGAAACGCCGTCGGTGTCGATGAAGCGCTTGTTGTCAAACGGGTTGAGTCCTATCTTCTCCACGGCAACAGTCTTGTTCTCGCACAACTTACGAGCGATAGTCCGCTGCGTGATCTTGTGCAGAGTTTGTTGCTCGAGAGTTTGAACGTAGAGCTCGTAGGTTAGCTTACGGGACTCGCACCTTTTCACTCCTTTCGCCCTCACATAGTGCTCTCGGGAGGCTAGTTCGAGCGAATAGAGTTTTGGTTTCAGACAAACAAATCCAAGAATGTGATCTTTTGGGAATTCATTTTTGAACACTCCTAGTTTCATTTTGTTTGCGGGAGAAAACAAGGGGTGATCGCCCGGGTACCCAGAAGTATCCAGGTGAGTTTCGGCAAGGGTCGCGAGCTTCGAGTCTACATCCGGGTCGGTGATTTGGAGAATGAACGAGTCCGTGTCGCTGTACGCTGCGCGAGCGTCGGGGAAAACGCGCCTGACCTGCTTGTAGAAAAATTCGTACATGACCAGTTTGGACATCTCTAGGATAGAGAAACCCGCGTACACGGGTTTGTTCAAGTGTAGCGTTCTCTGGGAAAACTGAAAGATCACCACGGTCGGGCTGATTGCCGCAAACTGCCTGAGGTTAGGCTTCTGCAGGTTTTTGAGCACTTCGTCCTCGCTCACGCTAATGACAACGTTATTGTACTGGCGTGGGTTTTCGATTGTCTTGCCATAAATTGAATTCATAATGAGTTTAGATAGGTTCTTTTGAAAAGCATTAGTCGCCTGTTTTCGCAGGTTGTGGTTAAAGTCGATGAAATCTTTAAGGAATGCACTCTGCGAAAACTTTAAAACGCGATGAATGGCCTTTAGCTGTAAGCCCAACTCCAGATACAGCTTGAGATTTCGGTAGTGAATGATGTAATTCCGTTTCGGGTAAAAGGTGAGAAGCAGCTTTCGCTCAGACTCTCGCTGGAGTAGGTGAAATTTTTCGACGAGCGCCTTTTGATAGGGTGAGAGCCATTCGAGCGGGACTCCTCGTTTCTCGGGAGCCAGGGGAAAGTCCGCGTGCGAATCGTGTAGCTCCCGAGGATAGTCGAGGTCCACGTCTAAAATGTAACCCTCGGGCGCGTCGTCGGTAACCTGCTGGAAGTGGAGAGCGTCGATTTCCTCGCGGTCTAGCCAGCGAAAATCTGCGCATGGAAGGGCTTGCCGCATGGTGGAAGCGTACAGGCCGTTCACGCCGAGGTCTAAAATTTGAGAAACCGCCGTGTTCGGATCAAAACATGCGGTTCCTGGCACGTTAGCCCTCGTGTTACGAATGGCACATTGAACAATTCCTCCGCGCAGACCAGCTTCGATGAACAGATACACATCCACATCGTCGAGCAGCTCCAGTTTTACCCCAGTCTGTTTAAGTGCGCAGGCAAGACTGAGCGCGGGCAGGGAAACGTAGTGTAACGGATCGAGCTCGTACGTGTCTAAAGTCCATTTCCTAAAATTTTGGAACACGTCGGCGAGAAGTAGGCAGTCGAGTTTCAGGTAGCAGTCACTGTATTCTCCTAGGCTTTTGAAATTGAATGTTTGAAAGACGGTTTGGGCGTGGCGGTAGTCCTCCTCCGAAATTTGGCTGTCGTTAAGCTTGTTGTAAAATGATTCGCGGGGCGGTAGCTCGGGCTCCCGGTAAGCCTCGAAACTGGTCACATAGTCGTAGGGAAATACACCTTTCCGCGCCAGAAGCTCAACGTGCAGCGGAAAAGCCTGCTTTAGACAGCACAGGTTTTCTAGTCCCTTGGAACGGAGGTCCTGAACCAGCGCGTCCAAGCTGGCGGGGAGAAAGGCCAGACTGTCGAGAAACCGCAGGTTACCCACGTCGAGTCGCTTAAATTGCTGGCAGCTAGTGGCGAGCACTTTAATATCTTTAGACTCGAATAAGTCGAGTTTGGGTAGTATAAAGGCCAGGTCATACGAATGGTTGTGCGCGAGCACTGGAATGACTTTCTTGTTTACTCTCAGATTTAAATTGCATCCCTGACACAAGGACTGCCTGTACGATCCGCTAAAGTGGTCGTGATCTCTGACTTTTCTCTTTCGATTTCCAAACGATTCGCCACAAATCGCGCAGTGAGAGGCCGACGAGTTGGGCTTACAGCTAAAGGCCATTCATCGCGTTTTAAAGTTTTCGCAGAGTGCATTCCTTAAAGATTTCATCGACTTTAACCACAACCTGCGAAAACAGGCGACTAATGCTTTTCAAAAGAACCTATCTAAACTCATTATGAATTCAATTTATGGCAAGACAATCGAAAACCCACGCCAGTACAATAACGTTGTCATTAGCGTGAGCGAGGACGAAGTGCTCAAAAACCTGCAGAAGCCTAACCTCAGGCAGTTTGCGGCAATCAGCCCGACCGTGGTGATCTTTCAGTTTTCCCAGAGAACGCTACACTTGAACAAACCCGTGTACGCGGGTTTCTCTATCCTAGAGATGTCCAAACTGGTCATGTACGAATTTTTCTACAAGCAGGTCAGGCGCGTTTTCCCCGACGCTCGCGCAGCGTACAGCGACACGGACTCGTTCATTCTCCAAATCACCGACCCGGATGTAGACTCGAAGCTCGCGACCCTTGCCGAAACTCACCTGGATACTTCTGGGTACCCGGGCGATCACCCCTTGTTTTCTCCCGCAAACAAAATGAAACTAGGAGTGTTCAAAAATGAATTCCCAAAAGATCACATTCTTGGATTTGTTTGTCTGAAACCAAAACTCTATTCGCTCGAGCTAGCCTCTAGAGAGCACTATGTGAGGGCGAAAGGAGTGAAAAGGTGCGAGTCCCGTAAGCTAACCTACGAGCTCTACGTTCAAACTCTCGAGCAACAAACTCTGCACAAGATCACGCAGCGGACTATCGCTCGTAAGTTGTGCGAGAACAAGACTGTTGCCGTGGAGAAGATAGGACTCAACCCGTTTGACAACAAGCGCTTCATCGACACCGACGGCGTTTCAACTCTTCCTTTCGGACATTGGAGCCTCTAAGTGAAGTGCTTTCTCTGATCTCCATCATTTCAGACTGATGCGTCCGTGTGTGTACACGCAGAGGGTTGTGTAAAGAGCCATTTTGTTGTGTGATTTTCATGTAGCGCGAGGGTTTTTCCCCCCGCCGAGTGTTTGATGCTTGTATAAAGAGCTGTCGCGCTCCCTTTGTTTCTCCGTGTCTCGAGAATTTCTTAGATATATGCCTATTGAATAAAAAGAAAAAGATCCATCCTCGCTTTGTGTCCTTTTGTGGCTTTATTTCCAAATCAGGTTACAGGGCGGAGCAGCAGGAGAGCTTTAAAGCGGGAGAGGAAAATTGCTTGCGCACGAGTATGGAAATGTGTGTGTGTCGTTCCGTCGGTATAGTCGCTCGCCGAGAAGGTTTTGAAGAGCCCAGTGTTCACCGAACGAAGACTTCGGTGCCGTATTCACTACGTAAAGACCGGGTGATGCTGTCTCTTGACCAATCTCGTCGCACGCGAACGTGCCACGAAACCAGGGACGCGTGCAATGATTTCCCGCGAACATTGGGTAAAATTCGTGCTCTTCCATTTTAGCCGGCAAACTTGACGTTTCTCTCCTTGTCAATTTCCAGGACGCGAGGCTATTGCTGACATAAGCTGGAACCATGATATTTAGCAGGGCCACTTGAATGCTTTACGCTGGGGCGAAGATGTAGCACGGCCTGTGAACTTCAAAGTTTTACCGTGACCCCAGCTAAACATTTAGCGGCACCCAGCTGGTGCTAAGGGAATCTTCAGATGACGCCCAAATTTAGCGGGTCGAAGCTTTTACCACTAGATGTCAGCAATTTTAGCATTTAACTCTTCAAAGCTCTAACACTAGATGGTGCCTATCAAAAAATTAAAAAAAAATCGCTGGGTCCGGCATGGTCTTTGAGCTTCAAGACTTTGCGCTGGCCCGCAAAATTACGCAGGCCCACTTCAAAGCTTTACGTTGGCCCAACAATTAACACGGTCCGCCAGCTTCAAAGTTTTAAAGTGACCTCACCCCCAATGCAGTGGCACCCAGCTGGTGCTAATTGGGACCTTCACACGACGCTCAAAATTTATAGCAGGTCCAAGCTTTTACCACCAGATGGCACTCAATTTTTAACGAGGACCACTTCACAGTTTGAACACTAGATGGCGCCTATTCCCGAAATTCGCTGGGTCTTTACAAAGTTTTACGAGCTCGCCCCAAATTTTAGCAGGGCTACTTTAAAGCTTTACGCTGGACCAAGATATATCACGATCCGCGAGCTCCAAAATTTTACCGTCACCTCAACCCCCTCATTTAGCGGGACCCAGCTGCTGCTATTTGGGACCGTCACATGATGCCCAAATTTAGCGGGTCGAAGACCCCAAATGCATCAGCTAAGGGGGCGCCATGAGGCTACGAGTCCGCGAACACCGTTTGAATCGCGCGAAATCACGTGATAAGAAGACGAGCAACGCTAGAGCCCGGCGATGCAAATAATATTACACGACCATCGTCACATGACCTGCGGCAATGTCGTATCCTGTTTTTCAATCGTATTACAAAAGCCAGGTAGCAGGAAAGCACGTGATCTGGTTTGCACACACACACACGGACAACTAAGACGAGTTAAGCCCTCTGGGAAGCAATGTGCTTCTAGCTCAGGGGGGTAGAGTGTCGGGCTCCTGTGCACAAGGTAGCGAGGTCGATTCCCAGCCGCCGCAGAGCCTTTTTTAGCGATTAAAAGCCATTTACCGCGCAGCGATTCAAATAATATCACGTGACCGTCATGTGACATCACATGAGCGCCCTCTATCGGACGCAACTCAAACCCTGTGTGAAATCACGTGAGCGCCCTCTGTCGGACGCAAGTCGAACCATGTGTGAGATCACGTGAGCGCCCTCTGTTGGACGCAACTCGAACCCGGGGAAAATCACGTGGTTGTGAGCGGTGGTGACGACATCTCTGTACGTGACTTTCCCACACTTCTGACACGCGCCGCGTCCGTGACTGATAACATCGGCTGTTAACACCTTGATAAGCATGTGTTAACATCCTTAACGAGGTGTTAACATTGGCTACGTGACCTCACACCTATACCACGTACGTGACTCGATGGGCTCCGATTGGTCACTGGGATGGGAGAGGGGGCAGGTGCCCCGCCCCACTGCTCTGTGATTGGTCGGATTGGGGTAGGCCCCGCCCTGCGGCGTTGTGATTGGTCGGATCGGGCCCCGCCCACAGGGCAACGCCCCTAGCAACGGGCAACGCCCCTAGCAACGGTTTGTTTACAAGTTGGCCTAACTGGTACACTTTTACTACTACTTATGTTACATCATCATTCGCTATGGGATTCTGTAATCTACCATTTACCGTGCTTGTTCAAAACAATCTCTCTAATAAAAAAAAAACAAAAAAACTGACTACACATTTCTTTGGGCCAAGGACACACCGGCCATTTCAAATCAAGCTGAGATATTAAAGCACAGAATTTAAATATTAGCCCATCTACATGCGGCTGCGTTGCATGATTTTGACAGCTGTCGTTTAAAGATATCACAATAGGCGACGTTTTTGTGGTGAATGGCACACAATCTGCGACTGCTGTTGGTGCGTGGCAAAGTGACACAAAGGCGAGTCTTGTCCGTTTTAAGCGGTGCACACGAAGATCATCGACAACAACGAACGGAGACTCCCGAGTGCCGCGTGTGCTTTCAACTTGATTAGGACGGCGCTGTGAATGCGGTCTTGGGGAACGCCGCTTGCGTTCCTCGATGAAGACCACGTGCTCTGGGGAGCATATGCTTTGTCTGCAAACTTTTTTTATCTTCGGTACCGGTTCTTTGGAGAGGAAAGGGATTGAGGGGAAGAAATTAAGAAGCCTCGACTCGGCGATCAGGTAGCATCCAAGGTAGTCCTTTTGATACCTTCGTTTTTATTGGTTGCAATCCTTGTGCTCAAAGCTGCCAAAGCATTACTCGACAGGCGAGGGTTCGAACGTTTTCGTTGCTTGGAATGATTAAGCGATCGAGTACCCCATTTTGTTTGGACGTAGCTCGCTTTGGCGACAACCAATCGAAGGAGTAGCCATGACAGCCAATCACGCGTCGATGGAACACACGCAGTAATATTAAAGCATAACAAAACTCCCCCGATCCCAAATTATCGTCCGCCCGTTCATACATTTACCGCTACTTCTGACGGAAAATCGACGTCGCGGGATCTATACACCAATTCAGTTTCGCCTCTAAATATGGTAGAAAAATTTGATGCCACTTGACCTGACGTTACAAGAGCTACGGACGAATTCGGATTCGCCGCTGAACTTAGCGGTAAGTTTGATTTCACGTGACCTACGCACATATTCGATTTCCCCGCTAAGTTTGGCGGGATATTGACGTAACGTGACCCGACGTCAAGAAGCCTATACGTTTATTCAGTTTCCCCACTAAATTTAACAGGATGATTGTTTTCACGTGACCTGGCATATATGAACACCAATTTAGTTTTCTCTTGTATTTAGCTGGAAAACTGAAGCCGGTAGTCAGTTTTCTTGTGAAATTTAACGAAAAACGTGATAAATATATGTGTGTTTTTCACACCCGAAGTGATTGTTTACTGCCTTCTTGCAAATCTGAACGATCGCTTCTCACGAATTTCATTTCGTGTATTGGAAGACATTTAACATGAAAGTTGCTGTCAATTTGTATTTTTGAACTGTGATTAATTGGTCAGTAGCGGTGTCATCCCCACATCTCAATTACAAGCCGCTTGCCACACGGCATACGAAGCGCGTTTGTGTAGAGTCAGTGACTGCATGAGAAGCGCAGGGTGTTCCCTATTATGGCCACTCTTCTTTGATCGGTTCCTCGCAGCTCTTTTCGGCGAATACCGCATTCTCATTGGCTGAGCAACAATACTGAGATGATCTGGATTCGGCATGTCCTGAC